TGAGGTTGGAAGTTTGAGACCAGCCTGACCAACATGGAGAAACCCCGCGTCTACTAAAAATACAAAATTAGCAGGGTGTGGTGGCGCATGCCTATAATCCCAGCTACTGAGGAGGCTGAGGCAGGAGATTCGCTTGAACCCAGGAGGCAGAGGTTGCCGTGAGCTGAGATTGCACCACTGCACTCCAGCCTGGGCAACAAAAGCAAAACACCATCTTAAAAAAAAAAAAAAAATTAGGCTGGGCGTGGTGGCTCACACCTGTAATCCCACCACTTTGGGAGGCTGAGGCGGGCAGATCACCTGAGGCCAGGAGTTTGAGACCAGCCTGGCAACCATGGTGAAACCCCATCTCTACTAAAAACGCAAAAATTAGCTGGGTGTGATGGTGGGCACCTGTAGTCCCAGCTACTCAGGAGGCTGAGATAGAAGAATGGCGTGAACCCGGAAGGCGGAACTTGCAGTGAGCCGATATCACGCCACTGCACTCTTGCCTGGGCGACAGAGCGAGACTTTGTCTCAAAATATACATATATATATACACACACACAAAAATTAGCTAGGCTTGGTGGCGAGAGTTTGCAGTCCCAGCTCCTTGGGACGCTGAGGTGGGAGGATTGCTTGAGCGAGGGAGGTTGAGGCTACAGTGAGCTGTGATCACGCCACTGCACTGCACTCCAGCTTGGGTGACAGAACAAGTCCCTATCTTGGAAAAAGTAAAAAAAGAAATGCAAATTATGGGGCCCCACGGCAGATCTGCTGAATCAAGAAATACTTGGGGCGGGACCCAGCAGCTGTGCTGGAACGGACGGTGGCTGTGTTGGTACAGGCCCGGGTGACGCTGCTGCTGACTCAGCGGAAGTGTGAGAACCAGACCCCGATGAGCTCACGGAGTCAGGAACCAGGTGTTGGAGAGGTAGTATAAGAGTGCTGTGGCCTCTCCCAGTGCCTGCCTCCCGGTGCAGGGCCCACAGGCTGTGATGGGCGGGCAGGAATTCAAGACAGAAGCAGGGGGACCTGAGGCCCCAGGGCAGGTGGGAAGAAAGGGGGTCCCAGACCTGCTCGAGGATGACTCTGAAAGGACAAGCACTAGGCAGACAGCAGATGGCAGCCTTCGGTGTAGACGGTTTCAAGCAGCTGGCAGCATCCCCAGGGCCTGGGGCCAGCCTTTGTGTCAGACCAGGCACATGACCAAGCTGGTCACCTAAAACTTACCTCACTTCAGGGAGACTGAACCCCAAGATCCCTGTGCTCTGTTTGAGGGTATCAAATTGGCAGACGAAACGGCCGGCCAGCCATGCTGACCAGTGACAGGCCAGTCCTTCCCAGGCAAGTTTGATCTTGTTCCCACACTCCCAAGATCCTCTTCCCATAATCCCAACAACCATGAAAATGCCCCGGAAATGCCAGGCGCCACTGCACTCCAGCCTGGGCAACAAGAGCAAAACGCCATCTTAAAAAAAAAAAAAAAAAACTTAGTCTGGGTGTGGTGGCTCACGCCTGTCATCCCAGCACTTTCGGAGGCCGAGGCGGACGGATCACGAGGTCAGGAGGTCGAGACCATCCTGGCTAACACGGTAAAACCCCGTCTCTACAAAAAATACAAAAATTAGCTGGGTGT